TATATATAAATATATATATATATGTATATATAGATATATCTATATATATATATATATATATATATATATATATATATGAATATATATATATATATATATATATATATATATATATATATATATATATATAATATTTGTAAACTCGAACACCTAGTTTTTGTGTGTATGGTTTTGATGATTACATTGTAAACTTGAACACCTAGTTTTTGTGTCAATGGTTTTGATTATTACTATATACGAACTTGATGTTTTCTATATTTCAGCATCCAGCACCTGCTGAATAATACTCCTTAATCTACTGTAGGTTGTACGACAAACTATTAGCGAGGCCGACAAAGACGGGGATGGAAAGATATCTCGCGATGAGTTCGGACAGGTAAGCATTTATCGTGTTTGTATCGTTTGACCTTGTCATCACGTATCCATGACTGTGAGTTGTGTGTATTGTGTGTGGGTTACAAGCGTGTGGTATCTCTACTAAAATATTGAGATTTCGATGCACTTTGTTTTGTGTGGCAAGCATCGCATGTCAGGATATATATTTTGTATATCAACCGAAAAAGCCGTACACAATCGTCACTAGGTTTATTTTTGTGAACATTATACATATCTAAATATGTAATCATATATATGTCAATTTCTATATATATCTGTTATATATATATATATATATATATTTATATCTATCTATATATGTGTGTGTGTGTGTGTGTATCTATATATATATATATATATATGTGTGTGTGTGTGTGTGTATGTATATGTGTCTGTACGTATCGTTTCCTTGTAATCGTGGTGTGTTATTATTATTATTATAATGATGACCCCTCGTATGGTCTCGGCTCCCTTACTTTCAGGTACTCTCCAATTCTGATCCGGTCCACAAAATGACTATCCGGTTTCCAGAGGTGCTGCTGAGCTAGTTTTTCGGTGATTCGTCTTCGTTAAAAGATACACTGTGCCGGTTAGTTCTGACCATTCATCTAGTAACACGTCTATTGTTAACGTGCTGGCAAGGCCACAAAGCGCACTCTGCGATACAAAGATATATACTTCACGACCATTTATAGGACGCGCATCAAGGTTTGCTGCGAAGATCGCCTCACTAGAGTACGACACTGTCCACTTTTACAACATGTTTTTAGGGTGCTGTAAGCTAAATCTCGTTTACGACACTTTATTTTAGTGTTGGTAACGTGGCTCCATTTACAGCACTTCCTTGAAGTGATGTTAGCATAAAACTCTGTCTGAGACTCTGGAATTAGAGTATCTCTTCGACGATACCGAACAAACGATATATCGGCGATTGGGGCTGTACTTGCTCACTAACACTGCAATATCAGGTGAGTCAAAGATGCCTCCTATAAGTGAGTGATAGCTCCTGAAGCTGTGCCCGTACTGCCTAGCAACCATTGCCGTGTTGCACTAAAACGTCTACCAAAACACAGCAGAACCTGGCACGCAGCATTCTCATGGCATATTAAAATGAATTCGCACAGCGATAGGACCACTTTAATACTTATATGTTGGATTGTCACCTTCAATCAATTGTGCAACTACAAATGGTAGCATTTGAAGTTTCCCATAGAATTTAGTGCACCAGAAACATTATGGGGACGGAATGCAACTTGTTGGCTTAGTGACGATCATTGATGGGTGGTACTCTCGGATATGTTTCATATCAATTTACGCATTCGACTGAACGAGGGTTGAGTACGAGCACGATAGAATGAGAAGGTACTATTTTGCAGGACTAGACTTTTGGTGCCGTCTTAATTTCGACCACTCCCACTGCCGCTGCGCTGTTAAACTCTGTGAATGTCCTCTGAATGGACTAAAATTTACAAAATAGAGATTCTGGCAATTGTGTGCTGTACTTAAAAATGAGTTCGTTTCACATATTTAGAGTCAGTTTCGATTGATGATATTTTTTATTTCTTACCAAAGCAACTACTTCGTAATATCGCAAGAGCGATATGGCAATCGTCGAATTTGTTGGCTATCGAATGGCCGAATTCACTGTGAACTCAATATTACAGGCATATGCAAAACCATTGTTTGTTGCTTGCTAGCTACTTGTGACCTTAATATAAAGTACAATGCAATCGATATTATTCTGCCCGCCAGGCTAGAGCGATCTATTGTCAAGCATACACTTATTTACGAAATTTGAGTCAACAGTAACACGGGAAAGGCTTGTGGATAATTTCATATCCTTCTAAAATTAAGTACAAGAAGCCGAAGGCTATGATAATTGTTTGATTTTCAGAAGGCTATTTCATAGCCTTCTCAAATCTCCATTATACAGCTATTATACGATATTTTTGTGTATTAATCGAGTACGATATTTTGTAGAACGATCGAGTATCTTGGTTTATTTTTGAATATTTGTGGGACAGGGCAGTTGAAGCCTTGAAGGTAACAGGAATCAGGAGGAACACCCCGGGGCCCGGACCCCTCGGTGGACCCGGGTTGTATTTTAAAGAACACTATAAAATTCACAACCATTGGAGTGCTGGGTTTTATTAAATTTTTTTAAATAGTGCACACCCACGCAAGAAAAGAGAGTATGACTCTCATTTCTTTTTAAAAAAACCATGGAGCAAGGGCCACGAGTCCACGCACGACTCACGAGTCCGTGACTTCATGACCCATATTTACTTGTGTTTAGCCTCATTGAGTCATTTTGTAAGGAGTCTAAAATATTTGTTTTTAAAATATACTCACTTGACAATTCGACTCAATGAGCTTTTTTAGGGCCCAGACAGAGCCAGTAATCATTTATGTACACACGGTATTTTTCTATTTATAATAAAATTGGCGCCAACAGTGAGAGTAGCGGGCCAAGAACTTAAGAAGGGCCGCCCGCCCCACCAGAGTCCCTGGCAGGGGCTGTAACGGACTTCAATTATTCTGCAAAAAATATGTATAGGAGGCAATGTATTTTTTTTTTAAATCTGGTTGCATGTACTGTTTGTATAATATATATATTTTTTACAAAAGACAATTTATATATATGTAGTACTGCATGTACAAACTTTACTTACTGCTGTTTGTTTTAAAAAAAGAGACCCGTGTCGCGCGGTAAATTGATATACTTTTAACCCATTTTTTTTTTGTTTTAAACACAGTATTGTTGTTTTCCACTGTTGACAACTTGGCATACTAGAAAATCTATAAGGAGTACTATTGATCATACTAATAAACTCTGAGTTGCTCACTGAGATTCCAGATTGTGCCATACGCCCATATCAGTTTGTAGTCGCGTTTTTGTTGGTTGAATACTTTTACAGAATTGTCAATATTTTACTTTCTTTTATATATAGGACTGCGCGACGATCATGACGATGTCCGATTGGGCAAAGAATGCCAAAAAGTGTACTTATAAATAAAGATTACAGACTGTGACTGTCTGACTGAGAGACTGTTGGCTGCAGTCACTACACACTACACAGTACACACTGCTGTGACTGCGGACTGCACCACTCACCGTGTGAGCTTACCGCCGCTGTGGCGCTGCGATGCATATGAAAACAGTGTAAATAAATACTAAATACGCTGTACAATGTACAGCGTACATACACTCTCATATAGTGGGAGGGCAGGGAGGCCCTTTCGAAAAAAACAAAATACTCGATACATACATAGAGTTAAAATCATGTGATATCTGCCAGAGAGAGAGACCTGGCACTTCTAGAAGCTGGATTTATTCGCTCTGGTGGGCGGCCTCTCTCTATCTCGAGACCTCTCGGAGGCCGGAGCTGTCGCCCTGGACTCTGGAGTGGTGGGAAACTTTGGGAGACATCCATGTCCGCTTTTTAAATGGCGGAAAGGAGAAGAGGAACTCTACTCTCTCTCTACGCTCCTAGGAGTAGTAGTAGAGTGTCGACTGTCTCTAGAGTAGAGAGAGCTAGAGAGAGAGGGAGAGTGAGGATCAGAGGAAGGCTACGTACATACATTATAAATAAAATTTCTACGAACTCGCGATATGGAAAAAAAGGAAAAAATTATCTGTATACATATTCATACCCAAATCCAAGAATTCCATTCATTGTATCGGTATCGTGTTGTCGAATGTCGATTACAAAAAATATTAGACCTTATATATATAAACATATATACTACTGACGGAAACAGATGTCATTGTATACTCTCAAACGATTGTATAAGCAATAAGACATCTATTGGAATATGAAACAAAACACATTAACGTTTCATCATGTTGGAATCGATAGATGTGTTTGCCGCCGGGATTCACCATCCTAATGCTTTACCTCAACATTCTAAAAGTATAATCAAGAAATATACGGACAATGATATTGCAATCACTTACATCGATGAATCTGTCGACGAACAGAGCTCTACTCAAGCAACAGGGAGTTCAGTCACTCGTACGACATCCTCATTGGGACATTTAGCGGTATCGGAGGCCCTGGAAGAAGCGCTAACCGAAAAGTACAGTTACAAAGAACATTCTATGCAAACTTCAGCAAATCGAACCACTACATATACAGAGGGGACGACTCCAGGACCAGCAACCCGCACAATCAACAAAGCACATCGCCGTACTAAATCATGTCTAACACTACCATCGAATAAGAATAACCTGGCAAGCACTCGGTTGAGTCGTAGTGTCAGTTTCTCTAACAAAATCGTGGCCGTCGCCACATATTCTAATTCAGATTACAGCCGTGGATTAGATGTCGCTCAACATTATAAGAGTCTCCCGGCGAGGGAAAAGTTCCTGATCAAGCAGGAAATCAGGAGTGCTACGAGCGATGTGAATGGATTGACACAAACGACCAAAGATAACATAAAGTACACATGTATGTTCTTGTTATTAGCTATTCTGCTAGGGCTACAGAGGGCATACCTGTCCGAATAGGTAGTATATTAAATAATTATCACGAATAAAGCATATCCATATTATCACGCTCGCGGCGGCAGACCAGAGGATGGCTATTACGATCCGTGTCCTATCATTTAAGATCATATACAGATATACTTGAATACTTCACCAAGCGAGCTGATGATGATTTGGGAAGTAATGGGTATCAAATATTTAATAGGCGAAAGCTTCTATATGATAGCCAAGTATTACAAAACGGTCTTATTCCACTGTCACAGACCAAAAGTACTTTTTTTGGCATTTCTTCACCTACCTATCATGTGCTATAGCACAATACACGCTGTTGCTCGTACAGCTATCGGACGTGTAGTATACGACACACTATTCACACTATTTACTGTCTGTACTTTATACAATGTTTTTACGATATTCAATTTTATTGATTTATATGCATATATAC